TTCTATGTGAATATATATTAAAATGTAATTTATTCCTGTGATCAAAGCTGTATTTTCAGCATCATTACTCCAGTCTTCAGTGTCACATGATCTTCAGAAATCATTCTAATATGCTGATTTGCTGCTCAAGAAACATTTCTGATTATTATCAATGTTGAAAACAGTTGTGCTGCCCAATATTTTTGTGGAAAATGTGATACATTTTATTTTTCAGGATTCACAGATGAATAGAAAGTTCAAAAGAACAGCATTTATTTGAAATAGAAATCTTTTGTCACATTATAAATGTCTTTAAGGTCAGTTTTGATGCATGATCCGTGATGCATTAAAAAAAGCCCAAAACATGCATACATACATATATAAATACATAGATAAATAATTGTGCATAACTTGAAATCACAGTGGGTAGTAATTATTTTAAATCATAAACTGAAGAAAATGTAAAAAAAAGTTTGTTGAGTTGTGAATGCTGTTATAGGTGTTGGTAGTTTTTTGTGCACAGTTCTTTCTTCTGTATCATCAACAGACATTTAGACTTCTATAAAATGAAGGCGTCTACTTCCATATCCGCTGAGAAATATGTCATATGTCGTAAAAGATAGACATTCCTGCAAACACTGTCATGTTCAGACTGTTATAGTTACTGGCGAGCCTGAACAGACTGTCAAACGTTTAAGGTGCGTGTCTGTTCAGATGATGAGCATGTGATGAACGCCCCATCCTCGTCTTCATCTTCTGAGCTCTAGGTTTATGTCTTTATGACATGAGCAGAGCTGTCACTCATCACCTGTTGTGAGAGAAATTGCGAGTAACACATGGAATTGATGTTAAACATTGAAGTGGATAGACTGAAATAGTATTTTCTTTTATTTACAACTTCGAACATTTCTACACACTCGTTAGTGATGGAAGATGGTGCACGTGCAGGTTCAGCACGATCACATAAGCACACACTCATGCAAAAAGGAAAGAAATGATTCTTATAAAGAGTTTTCTTTGTATTTCCAGCTGTTGATTTTGCAGCCTCTGGTTATGTATTTTACTGTTAATCTCCAGCATGTGTAGACCTGAGCGGCCCATCCCAGAGCCTCACCCTGCCTCAGTTAGTCATACTTGCCCAACCGCTCAGGTATGTCACAGTGGTTAATCATTAAATAGGCGTGTGTGTGCATATGTGTGTGTGATGTCTATTGGCATGAGTAGTTTTAGAGCGTCATTGTGCTATCCTGTTCCTGTAATGACTCTTTTGACCAGTTCTACACACTCGTTTTAGCACGTGAAGTTACACAACTCTCCACTCTCGGCTTCCTGTTGCGTTATTCTTTAGAGACTGTGATGATTTAGTGTGTGTGTGTGTTTGGAGAGGGTGTGGGATTCTAGATGAGGCATGCTGGCGGACACACCTTCCCACTCACTTTCCCTGATTCCACCCCTTCTTCCTGCCTCGGCTCCACCAACATGACAATTTAGGGCTGAGGCGGGGCCAAGCGTATCCCGCAATGCCCTCCAACCACCATGTCTCACTGCAGTCAGAACGGCACAAGAGCAGACCCACAACCTGTAGCTGCTGGCATCATTTACAAGAGCTAGAAAATGGACAGCAGGAATTAAACAGAAAGAAAGCAGAACGGAGAGTCTTAACGGGAACATCGCTGCAACTTTCCACTTGGAGAGGTGAAGATAAGGAGCTTGTAAAGAACTGCGGTTTGTGACTCTGTATTACGCAAAGGAGATGAGTGCGCAACAGAGACGGAGGGAATATTCGTCCGACAGCCTGGAGAGGGAGAGGATCCCTTCAGATGACTTGCACTATCAGGGAATGCTGAAAGCCTTGGAAGGCAGGAAAGGTACTTAGGAAAGCTTTCTGATGCACCTGATCATGTTGGAGGAGAAATTTCTTCTTTGTAAAAGTCAGATCTCTAGTTCATGGACTTATGGTCAATGAAACAATCAGTATTTTTGTCGTGGTTTCTAGTAAAATTATTGGAACATTCTTAGGTAACACTTTATTTTGATTAGACATTCCACTAACTATAAGTGACTTTGCAAGTACATGTCAACTTATTCTACCAACCCTAACCTAACAGTCTACTAGTACTCCAATGAGAGTTAGTTGCAAAGTTACTTACAGTTAGTAGAATGTCTAAAGTGGACTATCGAAATAAAGTGTAACCCATTCGTAAAACAAGATCAATTTGACTTAGAAGTGAAACGTGTAAGATTAAGATTTAAACTTTGGACTTTATTCAAGAATGAATTCAATTTCATTCAAGATATATTCTCTGAGAACAAGTCTTAATGCCTTATATA